TAAGTATACATAACTACGCAAACAGACAGAATATTTAATAGCAAGTAATATCGTTCGAAGCTAACTGGGACAAGCAAACTTTTCTCCATACAATACCTTCCATCTTCAGCTCAATAATTAACTTATAGTAAAGTGTCGTTGTTGGTGGTAGCTACTGAAGTTGTGTTATTTGTTATAGCTTGATAACTATGGGCTTCAACAAGACTTCATTTATTATGTATTGAAGTAAATAAATACACTAAACCTTTGACAGAGGCAATCTAGCTATACTAATGTCCCATTTTTGGACTTATTAGTAAAAGTTGACAAATTGGGTCAAACACGAAATTATCTCTGTGACAAAATATTTTTTGTGATATCATAAAAAACCATAATCCAGTTTTAGGATATAGAATTTGTTTAATGATATTTCAGCTATACATCGTTAGAGTAAGTTCCGATAAGTCGAACGCGTTAACCAACTTACTTAAACTATTTTGAAAAGATAATTTTGTACTCTATGTTTTATTATGTGTTGCTATTTACAACGGATATTTAACCATTTGTCACTTAGGCACGTTTTAGTTACTGGACGGCAGATCTGTCAATAACACAGTAGGTACAAAGTATAAATACAATTTCGACGGTTGAAAGGCAAAAGGAGTCAAACTACACTTATGTCGAAGTATTCTGAAACAGCAGAATTGTTTTTTTAAAGTTGTAGATTCAAATTTGGTCGACTTTTAAAGATTTTATATCTAAATTTAGCTATCACTGTCTCATTTTTGGACTATTTGTAGAAGTTCACTAACTGGGTGAAACACGAAATTGTCTCTCAATATCACAGAACATATCAAGTATCAACACAATTTCGACGGTTGAAAGGCAAAAGGAGTTAAGCGACACTCATGTCGAAAATCAGTTTTATATGTATTCTGAATCAGTAAATTTGTTTTTTTAGAGTAGTACATTAAAATTCGGTTAAATAAGCGATTTTTAATGTTTTTATATCTAAATTTAGCTATCACGGATAGCCCGTTACGCAGGGCATACACATCCTACTATAATGTTCCGGCGTGGCCAACTACAGGGCGAAGTAGCTTGGGCTGTTGAGGTCACTCCCTTCAACAACCTCAGAAGGATGCTGAGCTTCTTAGACCAGCTCGGGTGGCACCCACTACATGCAAAATAGGCGCTTAGACGTCAACTTGCAAACACACAATACTATCTAAATTTGTAAAATTAAAATCGCTTGCCTGACCAATTTATAAAATGGCGGTTAACCCTTTTTTATTTCAAGCGTCGATATTATCATGGTTGCTGACGTTGTTGGCTCGCGTTGCTCTTTTGTTTTCGAAGCGTTACTGTGGTATACAATAATTACAATCTTAGTTCTAAATAACGGTTACGAAATTGAACTACATTTTAATACCAGTAAATACAAATTTCATAAAGAAAGCACTATTGACTTGGTTTATGTTGCGACGTAATTAACTCATTGTCGTTAAAATTGTTGGCTACGTTAATGTGTTGAAAATTAAGGTGTTTATGTATTATACATATGTATTATAGGACACATCATCATCAGCACATATGTCCTGTTGTTGTGCATAGGTTTCCTCAAAGGAGAGGATTTAGTCCGTAATCCTTCATGTTGAGTCAATGCGGGTTGGGAATTTCACAAAGTTCGCAGGGATTGTGAACGTTCAGGTTTCATGACAACGTTTTCCTTCACCGACAGCAAGATCTTTTTTTTCTTATGATATCAAGTGACGGGACCACATAACAATAAATACATTAGAAGTGGTTGGTTAGCGTCTGACGAGTGCCAACTATAGGCCTCGAAAGACCTATCTCAGCTTAGTCCGCCATTTTCGCTTTGTATGGTATGATTGTGGCATTCTTTTGTGCAAATTCTCTAACATCCTAGAAAAATGCCTTATTGTACTGTTTTGGAGTGCAAAAATAATAGCCGCACCAAAAATATTTCCCGCATTCCATATCATCAGAACGTCTTATTTTAATAAATTTTCAATTTTCTGTTTATCGAAATAATTTTTTTGTTACAAGAAACGAAAGTAAAGCTTATTTATACCATATTGGTCGCTTCGTTTTTGTAGAACTACATTAATAACTCCAATTCGTCGTCGTTCAGCAATTAACCGCTAGATGGCAGCATATTGATTGAAATTTCAATATAATACCAAAACTTAAGGCATTTCCATTGTTTTTTTTCTTCCGTGGACGGGACGAACAAGTCGTGCGCCTGGTGGTAACCGACACGACTCTCCATAACAGTTGCAGTGCCACTCAGAGTTTTAAATCAGTTCACTCTGAAACACACACGTCACTCTGTAACATAAGTTGACAAGTCCCATGTGTTTGTAATTTCACGCAAGCTTCCCTTCAAAACCGGAATGCAGTAATGCTCACACTACTGTTTCGCGGCAGAAATAGGTAAGGTGGCAGTACTTCCCTCGACGTACTTTTTGTCAAAGAGCTCTACTGCTACTACACACTAAAGTCAGCACATGCCGACACAGGGATGCCGAAGCATCGTAACATTTTCATAGTTACATCTCAAAATATAGTAGGATTTTTATGCAGCTTGTATACAGTATAACAATATCGTTAACGATAACACCCTGTATAAGTATCTAATTGCTGTGAGGCAAATTTTATATGAAGAAAGTTGACACCTTTAAAACCCGTCACAGACAGCTATAACATTTTATATGTTGCTCATAATTATTAATATTATACTTATATATTTACTATATTACCTGTAGCTCTTGTTTATGCGTTAAATGTTAGGAATGGAATTTTGCCGTATCACCACCACCTATACGTTATTTAAGAAATGAGCTCCAATTTTCGGTAGAAAGCTACAAAAAATTTTTGAATGAATTCACATAAACATTCGTATTGTGAAATTAGAACAGAGCAATAATTTACTTAATAAAGATATTATTTGACAGTTCAACCACTTTTAGGTGCCGGAAGCTGTAAAAAATACGACTGTTTGAAGTCGAAATAAAACCTACGAGAAAGTATATAACTATTTTATTAGAAAACGACGTAACAGATGCAAGTATAAAGTTTTCACGTCTCGCAGTCTAGCATTTCTTGTGAAGAGATTTCTATAATTACTGTACAGAAGGGCACTAGTTTTAACTGTATAGAGGGTCTAAAGGTATAGCCACAGGAGCTGCATTCCAAAGACACCGCGAATGCAAAGTAGATGCAGCCGACGCGACTGCATCAGGGACGGAATGCAACTCCTCTGTCGACGCTTGAAGTCTACAAACGTACAAATGTCGGCATCCTAATCCTGTCTAATTATAATTTAATTAATTGGATGTAATTTAGCTTTTTTGGACTTCTTTTCAAATTCAATTTACATAACTCATATATATTTAACATAATTAATATCATGTATAATTAGTAATACCTATAATGTAATTCAATGCGTATTATTTTATTATGGTTTAATATTTGACGACCTCAGTAGCCTAAAGGTTTGCACTGTGGACGTTAGACGAAGATGTCCCGGCCAGGTTTGATTTCCGGTAGGATCTATTTGAGAAATGAACTTTTCTAAATTGGTTTTGGTCCGTATGTTCCGCGATGTGGCGCAGAGTGAATTCCGTTGCTCTCGTACTCATAGTATAGGGAATTCCTTAGTTTGAGACCAGGAAATTGGTGTGGTTGTCTGGCACATTAAAAAAATATGGACTGTGTTGGCTGAAGTGAATAAATGAACATGAATATAAAGATCATGCACTAGCTTTTATCCGACTCAAAAAAAGGAGGAGGTTCTCAATTCCTCACCTCAGTATTGGTCCCATTTAAATTTGAAGAAAATATTCCACCTCTAAGGGTGACAAACTAGGGGATGAATCTGGTTTCGCGCACTTTCCGGTAACCGATTTCAATAAAACTTGGCAAACAGATGTAATTCCACGAGCTTTTGAGGTCGGTTTTTTTTTATAAAAAAGTTACAATTATTCACTGTAGTTTTCAAAAGTTATGCTACCTCATTACGAATAAACATAGGCTCTATGTGATTTTGGTAAAGATGCTTACAGTTATAATTAGGGTGCGGTAAAGTTTGGCTTAAAATTAAGATCATTCAATAATAAACGTGATTTTAACTACAACAGCGCTCATTTACCTTTGAACCATTTCTGACCAAGTACAAAGATACGGCCGAACAATATGGATACGTTTATCTCTTCAGCCCTATCGAAAATGGATTAACATAAAGTGTGCACAAACAAAAACAATATTTCTTTTTTTCTTCGTTTCGCCGCGTCGTTGGTAATAAATGTACCATTACCAATCAATCTAACGGCGTACCTTAAGGGACAAATCTATCATTCTATCAAGTTCACTGATATTGGATTCACCATTTGTCTTTGTTTTCTACGAAATTGCACTTAATACTACATTGGAATAGGTAGGTATTAAGTACGTTCAGAAAATGAAACCATATAAGACATGAGTTAGTACGCGTAAGTATATTTTTAACACGCCGGCACTGTTTGTTTTTGTAATCGTTTTTTTTTTTCGTTTTGTAACTGTGACACACTGTGTAACATGACTATGGTCATGCAGTGTAGTTTGTAAACGGTTAAATAGTCAATTTGTAAAAGCCAAATTAGATGAGCTTTATTTTCAGCAAACATAATAAATTATACAACATAACGTAAGCGGGTTTTAATTTTAATTGATTTTATCATATTAAAGTACCTAACTAACTACACAAAGCATACGAAGAATCGTTGTTAACGGCTTATGTAGGACAATCCTATTTTGCGTTAAAGCAAAGCCTGTCGAGTGCAAATACATAAGTTAACAACATTATGAAATTAAAGGGGAAATGCAATCTTGAAACAGGTATATATTTAAGAATAAGCAAAGTTCGAATTTATTAGGTGCGATGCTGGCTTACTAGTTATTTCAATAGTTCTAGTTATATAATAATTAACTAATTTGCATACAAAAACAAAACATACTACCTCTTTCGAAAGTTATTTCCAACTTATTAGGTACTTCAAAACGAATCCTCATATCACTCGCTTGTTGTTCACATTTAACACCAAATGGGTCTAATTTCAGAACTGACCGAATTTCGAAATTCTACACGAACTTTAGTTGAAAAAAGAACGCAGCCGGCGCCCTAGAGGCAATGGCTCGAATCGGTGTTCAGTGACAAACTAACAACGGACCGACCGGTGTGAGGCGTCCTTCCGCACTCCGCAGTGGGATGGCGTGGCTCCCGCCGCGCCGGCCTACATACACATACTACTAACTATTATAACATGAACCCTGACATTTATCTTTATCCAATAACCACGCTTCATTCCCAAATAGAGTCCAGTCACATCTCAAAACTGGAACAGAAAAACGTTTGCTCCGGTTTTTCTAATATTTTTTTTATTTTCGACTTGCACTCAAACGTTCATTCGTTAAAATTTCACTAGAAAAAGCAAATAAAATCACAAACATTGTTCGCATTTAATTTAGTGAAAGAAGATTTCTTTCCTCTGATGTTTTTTTTAACATAATAGCTAAAGTTTCAATTCCATACTGACAGTACCTATATGTCAATCGCACATGCTGTCACGCTCGTCTTCCACAAGGGCATACAGAGACCATGGGACTCCAACAGCTTCCTAACGTATAGCAGTCGTTCATAGATCAATAAATTATGGTTTAAAAGTATGATACAATGCGACGCATGAAACGAGATATGATAATCTGCATGTGACGACGCAAATACACAATTTAGAGATAACACGTCAAAAACAGCTGCTACGTAAATCAAATAGAATTCGGCAGGTAAAATGCTGGTTAGTTTAAAGTTCAAAATGTAATGTGGCAATGTAAAATTTCCATCTAGGGATATTCGGAGACGTATTAATTATAGTTTTAAGTACAGTACTTTTTTATTTAAATAAACAATAGACACACGCTTGGCCACAATGTCACTTGATTTTAAGCGACGATGTGACCGACGATAGTCCGCGTTTGCCTAAAAATTATTATTCATTCTAGTCTTGAATAGGCCCAAATTGCACTTTTCGGAAAACACAGATGCCCGTAGAGTATTCCATTCCTTTGCCGTACGCATAAGAAATCAGGAAGCAAAGCGCGTAGAGCGAATGGGTGGTATATCGACGACGTAAGGATGCAGTGTTCCGGACCTTCTCGTCGACCGAAGGAGGACCGGTGAGGGTGGAACTAAATTGACAAGTTCCTGCGCACACTCCTTTTTTTTATAACATCAAGTGACGGGACGAACAAGTCGTGCTACTCATGGTAAGCTACACGCCTGTCCATAATAGTTATAGTGCCACTCAGAGCTTTAAATTGCAACGATCTGAGGGGCACTACCACTGTACTTTGAGACATAAGTTGACAAGTTCCATGTGCCTGTAATTTCACCAGCACCCTTACACTTCAAAACCGGAACACAGTAATGCGATATTACTGTTGGCGGCAGAAATAGGTAAGGTGCCAGTACTACCCTGAACGAACACTTTCACAAGGACCTCTATTGCTACTAAATGTATCCGATAGAAAACCGACAATAAAGTACTACTTTCAAAATAATCTTTTGCAATCAGTAGGTACCTACTATGACATTGGTTTCGATTTCAAAAAATAGTTGATGGCAATGTTTTTTACTTGAGTCGTGATATCTGTTTCTGGGGGTCTACTCCCGTTCTCCGTCCGAAACAATTGCTGTCAAACAATTAATACTCGACCAAATTAAAAAACACATGACGCGATTGGAGTTTCATACACATGACATTGACATTGTCTTTTGATTTGGTGGAGTATTACTTATTAACCGACTTCTAAAAAAAGGATGAGGTTATACGTTCGGCTGTATGTGTTTTATGCATGTTTTCAGATATCTCTGTCAATTGTGGACCCATTTAAAAAATTCTTTTTTGTTTGAAAAGGTGCACTCTCGTGATGGTCCCATTGTCACCAAGTCAGAATCTGATGATGATTTTCATGGGATTCCCCCATGAAAATGGAAGGAAACCCTAAAATTTTATGAACCTGTATTCACACCAATTTCTCCATCAATTGTGCACCAATTTTGAAAATTCTCTTTTATTTCAAAGAGTATACTCTTGAGGTAGTCCCTGATACTGTTCCGGAATCGTTCCGGCTATCACAAACTACTAATTGTTTTCTACAATGAAAGTCGACTTTTCACTTCACGCAATACATGTAATCAACAAATAAAGAAAATATAAAATGTACAAAGGAATCCGTAACAGTCCCATTGTCACCAAGAAGTCAGAATCTGATGAGGGGATCCCATGGAAATTGAAAAAAGCCGATAAGCAAACTTTTGAGGTCAGTTTTTTTTTCAATTTTTTGATTTTTTTACAATTATTTCACTGTAATTGTTTCAGACGGATCACACGGAGAACGGGAATACACCCCCTGCTCTTATGTGAATACAATGACACGTATAGATTAATCACAATCATATTTGTATATCAAAACAGTTTCATTGTCGCTGAAGTAAGAAACAAACGAAAAGTAAACAAGGAGTCAATTATGTAAATTATCTCTCACAAAGGTACAGTATTATTTAGCTATACGAGTTTTACTTATTGTTGACGCGCTGAATCGCCCTCCTATATCGAGATCTGGCCCCTACCTATTATATTTTTTTTACTGAAAAAAAGAGCTTCGGTAAAAAAAATCCGAAGATGAAGAGACTTGGCAATTTCGAAGATCTTGACAAACTTTTCCTTTTTTTTAATAGATGTATTCGGCGTAAGAGAAAATATATTGAAAAGAAATAATAATAATTCATTCTCACATCCCTTGTTTGACAATTCTACTGCCTTTGTGGCCGAATGGTTACAATGCTGATCTGCCACGCAAAGGTCCCTGTGTGGCTCGATTCCCGGGCCGGAAGAAATATTTCTTAGGCCTACGTTTATTTCTCTCGTGAGTTTGGGTGTAATCTGTGGTTGGCTATGTGTGTCCATGTCACCCGCGAAACAGGGTTTTCCTAGTGCGAGAGAGTGTGTAAAAAAATTCTCGAACTTTTTGAACTCCCCGCGTGTATAAAGGAAATGTTATACTAAATTTAACTTCTCTAAAGGTAGAAAATTTCATGGAATGCGGCATTCTGAGGTATAATGTCAAGAACCCAGCAAACAGTTCCTCATAGGAGAACTAAACTTATTTTATGGCGAATGTAACTGCCTGCCCTCTGGTAATCGCTTTAACGAGGGGACCTGAAAGAGTTCCTTGTGAAAGAGTTTTTTTTTTAAATATAATGCCAAGTGACGGGACGAACAAGGCGTGCGCCTGATGGTAAGCTACACGCCTGTCTGTAACACTTGCAGTGTCCTCAGAGCTTTAAATCACAAAGATTTGAGAGTCAATGCCACTGCGTCCGTCAACCTGAGACATAAGTTGACACGTCTCATGTGCCTGTAATTTCACCAACACTTTGTCCAGAGAAGTACTGTTACCTTACCTATTTCTACCGTCAAGTAGTAATGTGAGCATTACTACGTTCCGATTTTGAAGGATGAGGGAGCTGGTGAAATTACAGAAACATAGGACTTGACAATTTCTGTTTCAGGGTGATGGGCGCAGTGGCAGTGCCCCTCAAATCTTTGCGATTTAAGGCTCTGAGTTACACTGCAACTGTCATGGGCAGGCGTGTCGCTTACCACCAGGCGCTATTTGGTTAGGTTATCATTATATCAATTTGTTTTAGGTTGTATCTATCTACTGGTCTTAAATAAAGGTTCCTTAACATGAGCTTGCACGTAACCCGTTTAACCATCAACAAAATAATAACCAAACTAAAATGTTTACTTTCCCTTCAAACTGTGCCCAACGAGCTGTGTGTTTATTCTACCAAAATTTCAGCTAGAGCGAGCATGAACCAATTTCGATAGTCCACACGAATAAATCCTTTAACGCTGTATTTTATTACGTTGATGTGAATTAAGGTAAATATTTAATTTACCAAGATGGGAGAGAATTACACCAAACATCCAAATATGCATAATAATGCATTAAAGTTACTATAATGTAAAAACTTTTGCAGTTCTGTACATATTTGTGCCTCTACTATGAGTTTAATTTGACAGTTCTCGCTAGCGACAGCGTAAAATATTTGTATTCAAAATGTTACTTCTTCTCGTGAGCGCTAGGGGCGCTGTATAATTTGCCATAGAAAATTGTGAAGTAATTTACGCGATCGCTAGCGACAATCTGTCAGAGTAAACTTTGGTAGAGACACTGGAGGCGCTAGAATTCTTTCTTGTTGTTGAATATTGTAACTTTGCTTTACTTTGCAAAGATCAATTAATTGGTTTGTTTATTTAAGGTTTGTTGTAACTACTTATTGAGAAACTGAAAACGGCGTCAGCAGTTCTTTTTTTTTAATCTTATTCCGATAGAAAAAATTACCTAGAATATTCAGCTTTCGCTCGAAAATCAATGTTATTTTTAAAAAACGGACGATTTTGTGTTAATAAAAAATATTTTTGTTTGGACATGTAATGTTCAGGAGAATGCACGATTAACATTCCACTATTTATAGCGCTCCGACGATGACGCCGAAGCGACTGGGCTGCTACTTCTAGGCTACTTTTGCTCGCAACTCGTTACCTTTCTACAGTATACATTAGGAAGTACCAAATCAGGAATTTATTAACTCACATGTAGTAAAGATAGTGGGACATTCAATTATGATAAGCGAGTAGTGATAGATGTGCTTTGTATTGGTACTTACGTTAAGGTAAATGACCGTTCGGTTACATATACATTATAGTTACGCTGAAACATAGTTTTTATAACAGTAGTATTGCCCTTATATTTATCTTTAAAATGTATCGATGTTATGAAATGTTATAGATTATGTAGTGGTAATGTAGACAGACAGACAATAGAGACATCGCTGTGTAGCTGTTGATACAGTACTTGAATGTAGTGTAGTCAATATAACAAACAAAGAAGAAAGAGATATTAATCTTTATGTAGATAAAAAATATTTGTATCATTGTCTTCAGCATTTCTTTGTCGAGTTTTACTGCTGGTGTTTCTGTTCCACGTAATTTGAGTCACCCTTCGGGTATCACATGTTCAGATTTTCAGAAACAGAACCTTTTGTTGTTTTGTTGTTCGGTTTGTTTGACAAAACAAATATACGCGATTTAAATCCGGAAAAATAGTTTCATTTCCTATGTGTAACAAT